ATCCCCAATGCAGAAATCTAGATACTTATGTCTCTTAAGGAGTTAGGAATTTCAGTATAAAAAATGACTTTTTGCTGGCGATACTGTGGCTTTCTATGAATAAAAGGGCTATCATTTCTATTTAGATAGATGCTTCTAAGTTATCATTTCCTTTCTACCCCCTTATTTAACTCAAATGCTCTTTTCCTAGAAAAAAAAAAAAGGTATTGTTAAACTAATGACTTTGGCCTCGTGACATATGTATATATGTATACATATATACATACATTTTAAATATATATATGATGCTAGAGGTAACTCTCCATTCTAATGTCTGCATATATACGCTTACAAATATATACATATCTTTGGGATTATAAAAATATTTACTTTTTATAAGCTTAAATAATTACTAAATGTTAATATAGAATACATTAATATTTGTATAATTCTATTTTATCTTTAAGAGTTTTCTTATAGCAGCCTTTGCAATACAAATGAAAGGTGGCCAAACGCTGTTATACAATGACACAGACCAAGCAGCTGCCATGTTTCTCTGAAAAGAGTATGTGTCGCAGCTACAGAAGGGCAGTTCCTATGAAAAACAAAACTTATCTTGACTTTTAAGTGCATTTGAAAGTCACGTCTATTAGAACTGGCAAGAGTATTAGAGTCACACAGAGTTCAAGTTATCTTTAGCCCCCAAATTTTCTAATGGGATCAGTAAAAATGACATTGCTCACTAGTATTTTTAATCATGTCATATAAACTTATTAGAATTTTCAAGAATAAAAAATACCTCCACAACCCTTAGACCAGAAAAACTACATGATGCTCAGTTACTACTAACAACCACTCTGACTGGGATCACAATAGAAAGTCCTGGCCAGGGTGATGGGAACAAAATTCAAAATAAGACCAGATTTATTGCTCGAATAGAGAGACTGGTGGATTCCCTGAGACCGTGATCTTCAGACAACCTTCAAACTTGGAATTGAGCTCCCCCCGGGATCAACTGTCAGCCAAACAACAGGCCTATAAAGGGAGCAAAGAAGGATGGATGAAAGCAGGAAGCCCAAAGGAGAGCGCTGGTACACTGAAGGAACTCCAACAATGTCAGAAAACAAAAGGTGTGCAACTTGTTGAACGGAAACTGATTTGCTCGACAAACTTTTACTCAAACCCCAATAAAAAGTTCAAGACAAAACAAAACAAAAACATCACTATGGGAAATACAAGAAAACAGAGAAGGATTAGATTGAAACTGTAAGGCATTGGGTGGGGTGGGGGTGGGGGGAGCGTGGAGAGAGATATCAAACCCTCAATTTCAAACACTCATATTAAGTTTGTTTCTGTTGAGCTCCCGTTCCAGATTTCCAATCAAAGTGTCAATACTATCTTGTAGATCTTTAAGATTGGCCTTTTGGTCCTCTGTAGATTCAAGTGTCTGCACTGTAAAATATGTCTGGAATGTACAATCTTTGGGCACAGGGCTTGGCTGTTCAATCATTATATGTGGTCCATCCATTTTCCCATCATCTTCTCCATTACCTCGGTCTTCTGAAGGGACAGCATCATTATCCACATCAGTCAAACTTTCCTTTGTATTTAAAAAGTAGCTTCCTCCGCAGCTGCTCCAGTCTCCGGCATAACGATTGCTAAGTGGGCTGTCCAGTCTGGCTTGCCTCTGCCTTAGTACTGATGCCTCAGTACCACTCAAATTTAACACGCAGGGCCGTTTTTTCTTCCGCCTCAAATAATTCAGAGAAAATTGCTGCTCTCGGGACAAACTGTCTGCCGGTTCTTTGACAGTTAAGGGTTGCACTGGAGATGAACAATAAATTTGCTTAGTGACAGTAATAATCCAACTGGTCTTAAAAAAAACAGCTAAAGATAAGCCATTTAATAATCAACTACAGACATGCATTTAAAACATGCGCACTATAGAAAAACATTCCATAATTATTTTTTCTATCACCAAACATAATCAAGATTAGAGACAGAAGCTAAGAAAATGCTTAGTGGGGCTGATTCATGCTATATCCTAACGTCTTCAAATAAATCAAACTTCTAATTTCATTAACTTTCTGAGCCAGTTAATTATTATCCAGCTTAAAATTCAAACAGTAGCCAAGCTGGTAGCTTCTTCTAAATTAAAAGCTAGAGCAAAAAGCAGGCAAGGCATGTTGGTGTACAAAACAAAACGTTCTCCCAACTGCAAACATCTAAATGAGACAAAGGCGAAGTGACCACTCTGGAAGTTCTGACCTCTGTTCTTCGCAGTTCTATCAGCAGCAGTGTTGTAACTTACTTTACTAAGCAGCCCAAATTTCACCTGGATAAAATGCATGAATGATTGACTTGACCACTTGTTACCTGAGTCTGATTATACTGCATTAGCTACTAAATAGTCTTCATGTATTGCCTGAAAATAGTACAAATATTTTACTTTCCCCATTCTGGTTAGATACCTAACAACCCCAACCAATATTGCTCATACTAAGATGAATTTTTCTTCAAAGAGTATATATCACACTGGATATATGGGCACACAGATTAACACTAGACACACATTACCTCTTGGGACAGGTTTTATTGCTTACTCTTTTGTGAATACTGAACAAAGAATCTGTCTAAGCCTCTTAGTAAACAAAATGGACTTAATTTTAAATGTCCACAGTTAGCTCTTATCGATTGTACAAAGTACCTTTTTCTTCCTGTCTGTTTACTCTACTTTAATAAGTAGCACTCCATTTGTATCTCCTTTCATTAAAACAAAGGGAATCTGGATCAATGGTAACAAAGCAGCTTTACACTCTCCAACACACAGTAAATGCTACTTGCTATTGTACAAAATAAAGAAAAAAATTTAAAACCATACAAACATGTACGATTCTAGTTTCCCAAGGTGTTACAGGGACATTCATAACATTTTTTCAGAAACCACACTTTGGTTTACTTGCATTTTACCAAAGTACTTGTAAACCATATATAGATTGGTATTTTAATTTTTCTATGTGTATCCATACTCAAGGTGGTTACTTTACAACCCTGAGAGATAGGGAGAAGCTCTTGAGCTAAAATTTTCTAGAAAAGAATGATTTGGTAAATATTTTAAACATATGTTTAATAAGTTATAATATAGAATATTTCCATACCATTAACTAATGCAATTGGGGAATGGTTATAATTTCCCCCCACTGTTTAATTATTCATATTATTTTTCTTGCTTTGGTTGGTTATGTCTACAGTCTCCTTCCTTTACTCACCATTCTTCTTAGAACTTAACTGTCATGTCTGTCGTTTTTGTCAACCAAGTACAGAACTCTGCCAAAATTCCAGTCATCTGGTCTGTAATTCAAACATCTTCAACCGTGTGTCTTAATGTACCTTCATTTTTGACATTCATCAGTAAAACCTAGGCTTATTTTAATGCCAGTTGCTCAAAGCTGTTTCGCTAAGTTTCTCTCCAAACATTTTTCATATGTGAGAAATTTATTATTATATACTTTCTTGGGAAATATTTAAGAAACAAATGTTTATTTTTCATTTCTTTTAGATAAAAAAAAAAATTTCTGAAAAAAACATCTTCATTGGCTTTTTAACTACTGATGCTGGAATGCTGAGAAAATCGATAATTTTAACTCCAAAAGAAGTTCTAATTTTCACAGAACTGTCTACTCCCCAGGAACCCAGGTGGTGTAATGGTTATATATTAGGTTGTTAACCTCAGGGTCAGCAGTTCAAAATCCACCAGCCACTCCACAGGAAAAAGACAAAGCTTTCTCCTCCCATAACACCTTAGTCTCAGAAAAGCACAGGGGTAGTTCCACTCTGTCCTATAGGGAGGGTCATTATGAGTTGTAATCGACTCACATGGCAGTGAGTTTGGTTTTGATTTGGTAACTACTCACCTTCAAATCAGGGGAGGAAGGGGCAACTTATAAGTTTGCTGAAAAATTTAAAAATATAATGATAAGTACCAAAATAAATAGTTATTCCCTTATCATTTTTTCTACCAATACTCATTCTTTTAAATTGTTTATTAGCTTTTTATTTATAGTATGATTATCTTATTTAACAAAACATACTGATAGTCTAGTTGGTGCCAAGTACTCTCTTTAAGAGTTGGGATTCTACGTTTAAGCAATATATAGCTCTACCTTTGCTGAAAGTGAAACGAATGGACTTAAAGCATTTAGAGTCACATTTAGAGTCATGACTCTAGTCTTCAGTATGGATTATCCCTCAATATAAAGAAAACAATAATCCTTACAACTAGCCCAATAAGAAATATCATAACAGAGAAGATTGAAGTGGTCGAGAATTTCAATTTACTTGGTTGTACAATCAACACCCATGGAAGCAGCAGTCAAGAAATCAAGCATGCTACTGTTTTGAGTAAGATGCTGCAAAAGACCGCTTTAATAGGCTATGAAGCAAAGATGTGACTTTGAGAACTAAGATATGATTAGTGACTAATGCAGGCCACAGTACTTTCAATTAGGGTGCTGAAGAAGAAGACTATAAAAACCATGAACTGCCAGAAGAATGAACAGATCTGTCTTGGAAGAAGTACAACTAGAACGATCTTTAGAAGTGAGGAGGGCGAAAATTCTTGTCCTATGGGAATGTTATCAGGAGAGAACAGGCCCTGGAGAAGGACATATTTTTGGTAGCGGCTCGGTGAAAAAGTAGATCCTTAACAAGATGTACTGACATCGTGGCTACAAAATGGGCTTAAATACAGCAAGGCCTGTGAGGACAGCGCCAGACTGAACGCGCTTTGCTCTGCTGGACACAGGGTGGCTGAGTTGGAGCTGACTTGACAACAGCCCTTGTGATTTTTACTGTCCTATGAGGCGACTCAAGTGAAACGGATTAAGGAAAAATTGATACTTTCCCATAAGACACCACCCCACTTCTATGAATCACAGAAATGTGGTGCAATAAAGAACTGGTCTCAGAGCCACACTCTCAACATGTTTCCTATCTGTAAAGCTAAAGGGTGACTTATCAATAATGCCCAACATTCTTCTTAGCACAGTGAATCCATGTTTACAAAGG